TTTCAGTGAATTCAAAGGCATGTCCGGACTGCATCGCATGAACTGCGACTAGGCACCTGGCGTCAGTTCCGTCCTGCTACGCATGCGGTCAGCCGCATTTACAGAAGTCGCTTCGTTTCTTTGACACAGTTAATGTTAACGACAACATGCCTATCCTGTTGTGGCAGTGAGTCGCTTGGTGTGATTACCTGGCTCCTGATAGTTGACTGTTGTCTGCATGCAACTTCAGCTCCAAAGAGTGTGCGAAGCCGACTGACAGCTTCCGAGACACTATCGGCGTACAGTAGCACTCGCCAAAATGTGGGCCCGGTGCGGTTTGATTTCTCGTCTCGTTTGAGCACACAATCAATGACGAAAGTACCGGCAGTCAGTCGCTCTGAACCATCTCATAAATGTTGTAATTCAGCAAAGGTGACGTTCGGTACACTTCGGCGTATCTGAGCAAGTCGACACACTGCCTTTGTGGCGTTGCGTACGCGGCTTCCTTCATGGATTTTGCTCAAGCTCAGTACTTGCTTCGAGTTTGTCTGTGAGTCAAATTGCCGAGTCGTTATCGCGCCAACAGTGATGATAAGATCGCGGTCATTACCGACTCAGAAGCAGCCGATACGGTCAAACATGAGTAGGCCTGAATAGTGAATTCTGTTACCGGGAAGGACCCCAAAATCATCCTTAGACAGCCAGTCCGCCGCACTTAGGACCACACAAAGCCACGATGGTCACACCAACTGCTGACAGTAAAATCAATCAGGATAAAGTAAATAATTTGGCCAGCCTTTCTGGAAGTATTTTAATGATGTGCCACGACCAGAGTAGACTTCTTGCGGACGATCTCATAACCAACTGCAGCAAACATCGAGGCATGCGCAGGGAGTTTAGTTACGCTAGAAACCTAACCTTCATGCAGAACGATTTGAGACAATATTCTTCAGTCCAACTCGAACATTCGCGGTCTTAATTCGTAAGACGTCAAAAGTAGGTAAGACCTTAATGTATGGGTAGCAACTTTCGCCATGTTGCCAATGTGCCGCATCAATGAAAGGCCTCAGCTGGTGATATTAATGATACTCGGTCTGCACGGTTTATGCCTCTGAATCGAAGGACTAACTCGTTTCGTAGGGGGGTGTTTCCTGAAATTCGCTACATTTTTGGCATACATAGACCCTTCAACTTGCAGCTAGAATAGCGCATAGATCCAGTCATACAAGGATTACAATCTTTAGTAAAGAACTCCTGTATCAAATGCGATCACAAGGAAAATGCAGCAGCGTGGACGAGGAGCAGCTAAAAGATGGCTCAGAGCACGTACCAACTGGTACAAAATGGGCAGATACCACGGCCCCAGCAGCTAACTGGAAACCACGGCAGGATAATCAAGACAACAAGAACGGAGTTAAGAGACACGAGTTTACTGAAAGCAATTCAGCATGCAGACTGAAGCCAGTGGTTCAGTTAAACGTGCAGGTTATCACAAAATAAGCGACATCTACCACACAAAAATGGGAAAGCGGTGAAGAATAGTGCTCGATTGGCCGCGAAAAATTCATCCGCGAGATAAAGGGGACATTGTAAAAAAACTGCAAAAAGGTAGTTTCCACGTAGAAGGATTGAAATCATGGCGATGCCTCGCGACACGATGACCTACTTCTTGATCATAGAGAGGACGCGTTTGATAAGGAGTCCAATGTTATCAAACACCTCTCCAATTTCCGCAGTGCTGCACATGTAGGCTGGCGCGGTGACAACCTTGTTCACTTCGTCCACACAGATCTCCTGAGACACAAAAACGTGAATAGGTTAAATTACCGTTCAAATAATGCAAGGAGTCGAGATAAGTTGGGTGTTATGAAGAGATCCAATCAAATGCTAAGAAAAATTCACAACAGAATAATAGCGCACGTCACGGACAATGGGGCAGTCTATGAGGCATTTGCAGTGACAGATGATGTTTAAACATGGGTCCTGTGTACTGGCTACCACCCTAGTAACTATCATCGACGCCTATCGGAAGTTCTGGTCAGCGGCAAACTTAGACTACCGATGCGCCGGGCAATTTCCGAACATCTGTGGCATACGGTCATCTTTGCGAATACCGAAAGTCAGCGTCCACATCTAGTTCACCGATAACTGCACGCTAAAAAATCATGACAGAAGAAAGCAAACGGTGTTGTCTTCAGGTGCGCCCATTTTGGACTGGTCATCAACAAGGAAGTCACGCAGAAACCGGTGCCACATCAAGGAATTCCGCTTCAGTATTAACTGAATTATTTTAATACCAGTAGACAAATCCGCAGGTCTGGTGAGTACGATTTCCATAAACATTGAGCGTGAGGACGAAATTATTAATTTGATTTCGAAAATCAGCCAGGTCTTCGGCCGGCTAAGACACGCCGTTTGAAACAGTCAGGGTTTCCTACTCAACATACAACTAAAATATTCCAAGCTATGGTCCCGACGACGTTCATAAGCAGGGCGTGGACGTAGTGCGTATGAAGGCCAAGAACGAAAGTTGATAATTTTCTCCTCTAATTTTTCCCGAGAATACAAAAACTTTAGAAAAAACGGCATCATCAGCAGTCACACCACGCTGGGGTAAATATTACTGTGCTGAAACGAGCAAATCGTCATGGTGGATGAAGAAGTGCCCCTCGGGGCTCGCAGAAAATGCGGGAAAGGTTTCAGCTCACAAACTCCCTGAAGATTCCTCGCAAGCACTGGAGACATGGTAGATCAGGAGCGCTGCCCAATAAAACTAGGCAAATATTCTTGAGTCCAACCGAAGTCTTTGTGGGGGGAAAGATAGAAACTAGTGAGACTTAAGTACAGCCAACTAACGATGCACACATCCAATCACAGCGCCAACCGTGTATTGAAATATCCGTGTGTTGCTAACACGACGAACCCTTTTATCTCGCGAGACAGTTTGGCGTCGCAAACGACATGCAACAGAAACCTAATGGAGTGAATGCAGTACCAGTAACATGCACCTTATCTCGCGAAAAGACAAGGTCTAAACTATCAAATGTGAGCACGATCGCGCTGGGTGACAAAGCTAACTTGCTTATCTAGGCGTGCGGAGGACGGTTTGATATCCAGCACAAGTCTCAGACTCCCATACAGACGGCTCCGATGTCAAAATGTTGAGTGTGTCACGAAGATAACACTAAAGAGCCATTGAGCTTGACTCCCGACTCTGAAATGACCGAGTTATGCTGTCAGTTGACATTGTACCAAGCCAGATTTCTATAGCGTCCTGGTAGACGTACGTGCCTACGTAATACCGTGAATTCCACTGAATTGTCGTGGTGGGTTGTCCAGGATCGCTTTTAACCCCCCCCGTTCCTTCTTCCATGCACTTGTCGGTTATGGGATTAATTGCAGCAGCTAACGCGACAAAAGATGTTAAAGTTAAACAAGGTATAGAACATAATCTACATGAGTTGCTTTTTAGAGCGTTGCGTGCAAAATCTCGAGCACAGACAGTCTACTAAATCGGCGGATCAGCATACTATGTCCAACTGAAAAAATGGAAATACGCCAACAATGAACCGTGATTGATAAAGCATTACTTATTGCCACAAAATGTCGGTAAGCAATTTACAGACTTGGCATCATGCCAATACTGTCTATCGTTTGCTCCTACTTAGGACAGGAATTGCCTGAATTAGTCCGATGCCGTAGACGTACAAGCAACTAGAACATCATTCAATATGATGTCTTTCCTCCACAAGTTAGCACTGAACTATATAGGTAGGGCCACAATAAGAGGAAAAAAATGCCCGGTCATGGCAAGGAACGCTTAGGCTAGGATGCTCTGATAACTAATTCACATACACTTTCTGGGCTTTTCTTTTGAACAACCCAAGCAGTCAAGTAACTTATTACAGATTTCAAAATATGTAAAGGTATAGCATCGTATAGCAGTGATAAACGTCGATTCGATGACACTCAGCATGCAAGTTCGGGCATTCTGGTGAGAAAGGCAACGTCTCATCCTTTTAGCTACCGGTCCCAGCGTGGGAGAATGATTCAAAGCTAGTAAGTAGTGAAAGTGCCTGACGGAAGAAGAATTCGGGGAGGGTCACAGTTGAAATAGTTAAGTAATATCAGTGGTTCGTTAACAGATACGGCAGATACCAAGGAAGAATAACCACAAGGGTCTAGATCAGGGGTCGGCAACCTTTTTAACTCAGAGCCAAAAAAGCAAATATTTGGAAA